AGGGAGAGAGGGAGAGAGAGGGAGAGGGAGAGGCAAAGAGAGGGAGAGAGAGGGAGAGAGAGGGAGAGAGAGAGAGGGGAAAAAGTTCTCTGATGATGGGCTCCAGTACAAGCTTGGAAGAATAAAGCTTTGGTCCTGGTGACTGACTCAGATTGGATTCTAAGGCCACTATTCTTCAACATCACACAATCTAAATGTGTTTCGGTGTGTTCTCACTGCGATTCCCAATAATCAGGTATAAGCAAAAAAAAAAAAAAAATGTGGTTGACACCAGGTTGGGGATATCCAGAATAAATATCTTTGCAGTCTGCAGATACAGAAACAGTTTTAATCAAAGATTCAGAGACCGGAAACAGACGAACTCTGGAGGTTTCTGACCAGACCTACCTTTTCTCCAGGATTAACGCCACATTCAGAAGTCTTTTGTTAAATCCTTTGATTCATATCTTGAGAATGTGGTTGCAACATAGAGTTGTGTGGCATTTGAGACATCACTTTTTTTTTTAACCCGTTGGGGTAGGGAGTGTAAAGAGTGTAAAGTGGAATTTTAATGTGACTTACTTTAGAGCGGGTTGGAAATTGAACAATTACAGCACAACAAAGCCTGGAAATGGAGTTGAACCTTTCTTCTGTGTCCATATTTACACACAAGCCTGAGAATCGAATCTGCCCTGAAATATTTACGGGAGTGTTTCTCAACCTTGATAATTTTAAGATAGATAGACTTCAACTCCCAGAATTCCCCAGCCAGCATGATTGGCTGGGGAACTCTGGGACTTGAGGTCCGCACAGCTGAAAGTTGCCAAAGTTGAGAAATACTGATTTATGGAATCAACATTTGCATTTCATTCAATGGCCTCCTGCGTCAGACCAAGGTAGCCGTGACAAGCCAAGCACATTGTCCTAAAGTGGCATCTGATAACCATTTCTTTCCCTTCTCCAAACAGATTTTAGAAAAAGGGAGCCCCTACCCTTTAATCATCTTGCCTCAATTTGGGGGATACTGGATCGAAGACCCCGAGAACCTCAGCACCCCCACTTCCTCCGAAAGCAGCATCTGTGATGAAGAGGAGGAACTGCTCAGCCCCAGCACTTACGGCTACAAACTGGAGTGCAAAGGTGAAGCCAAGGCATATCGGAAACATTTCTTAGGAAAGGTTAGTGGGAAAGGAGGCGTGTGCTCCATTACACACATGGTTATGCGGAGCTTAAAGGCTTGAACAAACTTCTGTGGCATTGCATGTCAGGGAATATTTGCATAATGAATGAATGAATGAATGAATGAATGAATGAATGAATGAATGAATGAATGAATGATAATCTTTATTGTTCATTTTTTCCTGTGGGCACAACGGCACACATTAAAAATGAAATTTAGTTGCTTGCTCTCTAGTGTACGCATACATAACACACATTTAAAAACATACTATATACAACATACGTATAGACCTATACAGGGCTTTTTTTCTCGGAGAAAAGGTGGCGGAACTCAAACCTGGCCACGCCCTCATCAAACCCTAGGACCGCCCCTTTAGAGAACAGGAATGCAAGTAAAATTTGGGAGGGGCTATTTCCGGTGTGGGAGGGGCTATTTCCGGTGCGGCCGGCCCGGAAAAAGGTGCCGGAACGCGGTTCCGCCGCGTTCCG